CGGGTGAGTGGAGGATGTAGGCCTCCTTCGGCTTGGTGCCGCCGCTCCTCTGGGAACGCGATCTTGTCGTTCTCTGTGGGGCTGCGAGCAAGCTTCTTCATCGTGTTCCCTTCCATCGCAGCAGCATCAGCAGCAGAGTGTACGCCGGGCGATGGCTTGGTAGGGGAGGGGCGGCGGAAGGGTACCAAGCCAGCGGGGTACCAAGCCGGCGGCATCGTGGGAGGGCGGGAGGAGGAAGGGGGAAGGGCTCCCGGATACCAAGCCGGCAAGGTACCAAGCCAGCGCTGGCTTGGTAGGGGGTGGGCTGCAGGGGGTATCAAGCCGGCGGGGTACCAAGCCGGCGGCATCGCGGGAACGCGGGAGGGAGGGGAGGGGCTCCCGGATACCAAGCCGGCGGGGTACCAACCGGCGCTGGCTTGGTAGCGGGGGCGGCGGGGGGAGGTACCAAGCCGGCGGGGTTACCAAGCCGGCGGCATCGTGGGAGGGCGGGAGAGGGGGGGGGGGAAGGGCTCCCGGATACCAAGCCGGCGGGGTACCAAACCGGCGCTGGCTTGGTAGGGGGCGAGCTGCGGGGGGTACCAAGCCGGCGGGGTACCAAGCCGGCGGCATAGCGGGAGCGCGGGAGGGGGGGAATGGCTCCCGATACCAAGCCTGCGGGGTACCAAGCCGGCGCTGGCTTGGTAGGGGGCGTGCGGCGGGGGGAGGTACCAAGTCGGCGGGGTACCAAGCCGGCGGCATCGTGGGAGGGCGGGAGGGGGGGGGGAGGGGTTCCCGGATACCAAGCCGGCGGGCTACCAAGCCGGCGCTGGCATGGTAGGTGGGAACCCCTGGGGGGGTACCAAGCCGGCGGGGTACCAAGCCGGCGGCCGCTGGCTTGGTAGGGAGAGCACCTGGGGGAATACCAAGCCGGCGGGCCGCTGGCTTGCGTAGGGAGGAGCCCCTGGGGGGTACCAAGCCGGCGGGGCGTCGGCTGGCTTGGTAGAGGGGGGGGCCGCTTAGTTGGGGGGGACCGGCGGGGTACCAAGCCGGCGGCCGCTGGATTTGTAGGGGGGTAGACGGCGGGTAGGGGGGGGGCCCTGGAGGGGGGACCAAGCCGGCGGGGTACCAAGCCGGCGGCCGCTGGCTTGGTAGAGGGGGAGCACCTGGGGGGTACCAAGCCGGCGGGCTGGCTTGGTAAGAGGAGACCTGGGGAACCAAGCCGGCGGGGTACCAAGCGGCGGCCGCGCGCTTGGTACGGGGGGTCCCTGGGGCGGGTACCAAGCACGCGGGGGTACCAAGCCGGCGGCCGCTGGCTTGGTAGTTGGGGGGCCCTGGAGGGGGTACCAAGCCTGCGGGGTACCAAGCCGGCGGCCGCTGGCTTGGTAAGGGGGAAACCCGGGGGGGATACCAGGCCGGCGGCCGCTGGCTTGATAGGGGGGAGCCCCTGCGGGGGTACCAAGCCGGCGGGGTACCAAGCCGGCGGCCGCTGGCTTGGTAGGGGAGAGCTGGGAGAGCCCCTGGAGGGGGGGGGGGGGTTACCAACCGGCGGGGTTACCAAGCCGGCGGCCGCTGGCTTGGTAGGGAGGAGCCCCTTGGGGGGTACCAAGCCGGCGGGGTACCAAGCCGGCGGCCGCTGGCTTGGTAGGGGAGAGCCCCCGGGAAGAGGTACCAAGCCGGCGGGGTACCAGGCCGGCGGCCGCTGGCTTGGTAGGGGTGAGCTCCTGGGGGGGCACCCAACCGGCGGCCGCCTGCTTGGTAGGGGGGAGCCCCTGGGGGGGGGACCAAGCCGGCGGCCGCTGGCTGGGGGGAGCCCCCTGCGGGGGTACCAAGCCGGCGGGGTACCAAGCCGGCGGCCGCTGGCTTGGTAGGGGGGAGCCCCTGGGGGGGAGGGGGGTACCAAGCCGGCGGGGTACCAAGCCGGCGACCGCTGGCTTGGCAGGGGGGATCCCCTGTGGGGGTACCAAGCCTGCGAGGGTACCAAGCCGGCGGCCGCTGGCTTGGTAAGGGGGCCCCGGGGGAGGTATCAAGCCGGCGGGGTACCACACAGGCATACCCTAACGGGCGGGTCGGGTCGGGCGATACGTTAAAGTATGATGAATCATCGAGCTGGCGCGTGCGTACCCTAACGCGCGGGTCGGGTCGATCGGGTGGGACAATAAAATATGATGCATAATCGAGTTGGCACGTGCGCACCCTGACGGGCGGGTCGGGTCGGGCGGGCAAGACATTAAATTATGATGCCCCATCGAAATGGCACGTGCATACCCTAACGGGCGGGTCGGGTCGGGCGGGTGGGACATTAAAGTATGATGCATCATCGAGTTGGCACGTGCGTACCCTAACGGGCGGGTCGGGTCGGGCGAGAGACCCTAACGGGCGTGCGAGTCGGGCGGCGGGCGGGGCCCTAACGGGCGAGCGGCGAGTCGGGCGGGCGGGCGCCCGCGCGCTCCCTGAAGCACCACCGCACCACGCCACACATGCAACACCACCACGCCTCCTCATCCCCCTCATCCTCCCCCTCCTCCGCTTCCTCCTCCGCCCCCCGACCTCCTCATCCTTTCTTCCTCCTCCTCTTCCTCCTCCTCTTCCTCCTCCTCTTCCTCCTCCCCCCTCCCCAGCCTCCTCCACCTCCTCCTCCTCCTCCTCCTCCTCCTCCTCCTCCTCCTCCTCCTGTCCCTCCCCATCCCCCTCCCTCTTGGTATCGCTGGTACCGGAGGCTGTCGAATACTGGGCGCTCTCTTGGAGGCGGGGCCTATTGAGTACCGAGTGCTGTCTTCAAGATGGGGACTGTTGAGTACTGGGCGCCCTCTTGGAGACGGAGCCTGTTGCGTACTGGGTGCTCTCTTGGAGGCGATTTTCTTTTTTAATGCAACTTCGCAGGGGCCTCTCTGATATCGGAAGCTGTGGAGTACTGGGTGCTCTCTTGGAGGCGGGGCCTGTTGAGTACCGAGTGATGTCTTGGAGACGGGGCCTGTTGAGTACTGGGTGCTCTCTTGGAGACGGGGCCTGTCGAGTACTGGGTGCTCTCTTGGAGCCGGGTTTCTTTTTTAATGCAACTTCGAAGGGGCCTCTCTGGTATCGGAGGCTGTGGAATACTGGGTGCACTCTTGGAGGCGGGGCCTGTTGAGTACCGAGTGCTGACTTGGAGATGGGGCCTGTTGAGTACTGGGCGTCCTCTTGGAGACGGAGCCTGTTGCGTACTGGGTGCTCTCTTGGAGGCGGACTTCTCGTTTAATACAACTTCGAAGGGGCAACTCTGGTATCGGAGGCTGTGGAGTACTGGGTGCTCTCTTGGAGGCGGGGCCTGTTGAGTACCGAGTGCTGTCTTGGAGACGGGGCCTGTTGAGTACTGGGTGCTCTCTTGGAGACGGGGCCTGTCGAATACTGGGTGCTCTCTTGGAGCCGGTTTCTTTTTAAATACAACTTCGAAGGGGCCTCTCTGGTATCGGGGGCTGTGGAATACTGGGTGCTGTCTTGGAGGCGGGGCCTGTTGAGTGCCGGGTGCTGTCTTGGAGACGGGGCCTGTTGAGTAGCGGGTGCTCTCTTGGAGACGGGGCCTGTTGAATACTGGGTGCTCTCTTGGAGGCGGAATTCTTTGGGAATGCAACTTTGAAGGGGCCTCTCTGGTATCGGAGGCTGTGGAGTACTGGGTGCTCTCTTGGAGGCGGGGCCTGTTGAGTGCCGGGTGCTGTCTTGGAGACGGGGCCTGTTGAGTGCTGGGTGCCCTCTTGGAGACGCGGCCTGTTGAGTACTGGGTGCTCTCTTGGAGGCGGATTCCTTTTTGAAAACATCTTCGAAGGGGCCTCTCTGGCATCGGAGGCTGTGGAGTACTGGGTGCTCTCTTGGAGGCGGGGCCTGTTGAGTACCGAGTGCTGTCTTGGAGACGGGGCCTGTTGAGTACTGGGCGCCCTCTTGGAGACGGAGCCGGTTGAGTGCTGGGTGCTCTCTTGGAGGCGGAATTCTTTTTTAATGCAACTTCGAAGGGGCCTCTCTGGCATCGGAGGCTGTGGAGTACTGGGTGCTCTCTTGGAGGCGGGGCCCGATGAGTGCCGGGTGCTGTCTTGGAAGCGGGGCCTGTTGAGTACTGGGTGCTCTCTTGGAGACGGGGCATGTTGAGTACTGGGTGTTCTCTTGGAGGCGGATTTCTTTTTTAATGCAACTTCGAAGGGGCCTCTCTGGCATCGGAGGCTGTGGAGTACTGGGTGCTCTCTTGGAGGCGGGGCCTGTTGAGTGCCGGGTGCTGTCTTGGAGGCGGGGACTGTTGAGTGCTGGGTGCTCTCTTGGAGACGGGGCCTGTTGAGTAGCGGGTGCTCTCTTGGAGGCGGATTTCTTTTTTAATGCAACTTTGAAGGGGCCTCTCTGGTATCGGAGGCCGTGGAGTGCTGGGTGCTCTCTTGGAGGCGGGGCCTGTTGAGTGCCCGGTGCTTTCCTGGAGACGGGGCCTGTTGAGTACTGGGTGCTCTCTTGGAGGCAGATTTCTGCTTTAATACAATTTCGAAAGGGGCCTCTCTTCAAAACGAGGACCCAGCAACACAAGTTGGTTGGGGACAAACGAGGGGGGCCGCCCTGGGCCACGACTCGAGCGGGGAAGCGGCGCGGGGCGGGCAGGCGAACTCTTTTGGATCAGAGAGCAAGGCGAAGCGATCGCCTCTCAGCGCCCGCGAGAGCTCCGCGGCGCGCGCGAAGGCAGTCCTGCAGAACAAGCCCAGTGCGACTTGCGCGCGCTGCTTGAAACAATTGAGGTCCCAAGAGCCTGTGTCCAGACGGCTCCGCGGCCGCCGGCGCGCGCGCCCTGCGCCACTCTCTGGAACGATCGCCCCAGCCCCCTTCTCTGCACCCTGCGCTACAATGACCCGACAGTGCCCATTCAACCCGGCGCCCTTTCGCCTACCCCGCAGCCCAATTTAAGACCCCCTCCCCGACGAGAACTCCAAGCACAGGGCTGCACCCCGCTGCACTGCCTTCAACTCGAGCCCAATCGTCTCCACCCCCCTGGATTCGCTCTGCGCGCCACGAACTGGCTACGTGCTATGATTCGCCACCCTGCCCCGCCAGTCGCCCATGGGTCCCGCGCCGACGCGCAGCGCGCCGCACCCCCACTCGCCCGCGGCAGGCACCCTCCCCGACCCCATGTCTCCCCCGTTCGCCCCCCCGCCAACCTGCCCGCCAACGATCGGCGGCGCGCGCCAGGCGGCATCTGCGACAATGCAAGCCCGAAGCCCATAGCAGCTACCGCGCGAGAACATGCCGCGCACGTCGGCCCGGCCCAACCTAAGGGGCCGGCTGTCCTGACCAAAAAAATATCCGCACCCGGCGGACACATAATTCCGCAGCACTGCGTGGCGCACGGTCTTGCTGCGCAAGTTAATCCACACGTGAGCGCTGTGTAGGTCCTGCTTCCTCATCGTCGGGAGAGGATCGCACGGCGCCTCTGCCGGGGCGGCACGCTTGCCTGCCTCTCCATCCGGGGCCTGTTCAGGCGGCGGGGGCTCTGGGACCTCGCAAGACGTCCGGATTGTCTTCCGCTTCTTCCGCCAGCCCGCGCGGTCTGGGATATCGCACTCGCGCCCCCCCGCGCACGCCGCCGCGAGACGCAGGCCCCCCTCGGCCGAAGAACTCGGTCCGCTGCGGGGGGCAGCCGGCGCAGCTTGAGCGGAGCGGTGCGTCTGGATGGCGCGGTGGCAGGACTGCCTCCTGTTGTGGTCCCGCGCGAAAATGAGGAGCAGCAGCTCCTCGTGCACTGGGTGCGCCCCGGACAGGACGACCTGCCAGCGATGGGCCACGTGGAACAATTGCTCCGCCGCTTCTGTGTCCACGCCCTTCAGAGAGGGGTAGTCGTCGGCGTCGACGCCAGGCACGAAGTACGGGCTCGTCTTATCGCGGCAGCTCTTGTGATAGGTGAAATGCAACCGATCGATGATCCATTGCAAGCCCAGTAACCACGTCCAGCCGGGCGCGCCCGGATCACTCGGGGGGCCCTCGCGCTGCCGCTTGCGCAGGTGCCGCGCGACCGCGCAGGCATTGTCGTAAATCGCGTATGCCAAATCTAGGAACAGCTCCCTGGTGGCCAGCAAGAACAACAGTAATTGCGAAATGCTCTCGGACGCCCACATCGGCGCAATTGCCGCAATTTGCAGGCAGGGCGTGACGGCCACGAAGATGCCCGCGGATTTGCGGCCAACCAGCAACTCGTCGACGTCCTTCCTGTCATCCTTGTTGCAGTCCTCCTGCTGTTTCTTCTGCCTCGCCCGCCGAAGCAACCGCATCTCGCACTGCCTGACGTCGTCCGTGTTCACGGCCTCCCGCCTCGCCCACCCCCCCTGCACCCTGTACTTCAGGAGCACCCCGTCTTGCCGGACTGTTTTACGGTGGTCCTCCACCACGAGTGCGTCCAGGGATTGCTGCCACCGTCGTCGGTGCCCGCGAGCATACGCATGCCTCTTGCAATACAAACTGCCAGGGGCGGGCCGCTCCGTGCATCCCTTGAAATACCTCTCCCGAACTTCCGCGGAGAAGACGGGATTGCAGTCCCGGGCATTGCATATACTGGTCTGGACGCACCATTTGCCGTCAACGACCAGGGCCCGCACGCGGCGGAATAGCTGGCAAGCATGAGAAGCTGACGACGTCGAGAACGCCTTCCTCGCCTGACAGAGCAACGCCTCAAAATCGGAGCCCTGGTGGCGCGGCCGCAGACGCCACGCGAATGTGTGAGCGTCCAGAGCGCACTCGGCGAACATCAATATGCAAGCGAAGGCGATCACGTTGATCTCGAAGATCTGCAGCAGGTGCGTCCTTGACGCGCACATCGTGCCGCGCATGGGCGCTGGCCACAAGGTCTGGTAGATCACAGCGAACGCGGTGAAGCTCATGCCGCCGCGGGCTAGGAAACCGAGCAAGTAAGACAACAGGGTGACCTCAACGACGACCTGCGGAGTCGCAAAAAACCACCGGTTCTGCTCGCAGCAAGTGCGGGCAAGAACAGGCGAGTGAAAGCCTCGCAGGAACTGAGAACCCTTTGGCACTGCTGGCCACTTCCAGTTGCCGGCAAATACGGCGCGGCACACTGTGCATCGGAGGCACACGACGTTCCCAAGGCGAGCCCCTCGCGCCAGGGTAAAACACAGCGCTGGCAAAACTCTCCAACGACGCAAGCGCTTGTGGAAGCACTCGGCGACGCCAACGGGCACCCACTCCTGAACCCGTTCGAGGAGCACCGCGGGGCCCTCCCCTGGCGCGAGGGCGATTGCGCGCGAGCGCTCCCCGACGCCGAGATCTTCGCGTGGAGCGCCACCTGCTCCTGCAGGGCCAACTCCTTCTTGCCAGGGTAGTCCGCGCCGTCCACGTGCGGGCCGCCGCGGTGCATCGTGCGCCAGTAGCTCAGCTGCCCCCTGAGCGCCCCCCCTTCGCCCTGCAGGCGGGCTACCTCCGTCGTCAGGCCCGCGCACCTGGCAGACCAAGTGCGGTTCGCGGTGCGGCCCGGCGCCCCCGCGCGAGGAAGTCTGCACTTTCTCCCGCAGGCGCGCTCAGTGGCCGTCAACCCCGTGAACCGACCTCGTCTCCACCTTGCTGCAGGCCGCGTCTGCGTCGGCCGCCTCCTGGCGCGCCTGCGCCAGCTCCGCGCGCACCGTCGCGAGCTCCTGGTCGCGCGCGCCCAACGCCGCGGCCGCGGCGGCGGCTTTCCGGCGCGCTTGCGCCAGCTCCTCCCGCAGCCTGCCAACGCCGGCGCCGCGCTCGCCCCCCGCGACCCCCGGCGCCGCCGCCGGGGGCGCCGCCGCCACCCGCGGCGCCGCCGCCCTCGGCGCCCCCGCGGCTGCGCGCGGCGGGGCCTGCTGGACCGCCGCCGCGGGCGCGGCCGCGCTCGCGGCCCCGCTCTCGCGAGTCGACCCACCGTCCGGCGCCGAGCTCTTCGGGGAGCGCGAGCGTGAGCGAGGCTTGCCGCCCTCGCTCGCCGGCGCCGCTGCCGCCGCCGCCGCCGCCCGCCGCGCCGGAGTGGCCGCCGGCGGCCTGGCGCCCCTGTCCCGCTTCGCCGCGACCGCGGCGCCGTCCTTCAGGGCGTCGCCGAGCGGCTGGTCGAGAGGCAGCGGCTCGCCCCGCGCGCGTCCCTCCGGGGATCTGCATCCCAAGATGCTACATGCTAGCCACAACGCCGGCACGGACGATAAGTATGAATTCTCCCAGGCACACAGGCACTGGGTGCTCACAACCACCGTGGTTCACGCACGCGCTGCAGTAAACAAAAAGCTGTGGTCTACACAAGCGTCGTCGTGCACGCGGGAGCTGTGGTGCGCGTAAACACGGCGGTGTACACAGGCGCAATGGTGCACGCGGCTGCTGTGGTGTGCACGCGCCGTGGTATGCACAGGAAGTGCCAGCATGTAGTTGGGGCGAGAACAGATCGCCAGCCTCGTTCTGGTAGTTGGCCGCCGTGAAGGTCCAGCCCAGCTTGGCCTTGATCGCGGCGAGGAGGTCCGCCCCGCTGGCCGCCGAGTCAACCTCGATCACGTCGGACTTCGAGTGACCGTTCACGGCCAACAACTTCAGCATCACCATGGCGACGGCCGCACAAAGCTGAAAGCCCCCGGCGCTTGAAGCCGAGAGTCTTGACCATTACCTTCCACCTACAATACCCCTCTGCCCTCTCTCCCTTCCCTCTCTTCCTCCTCTGACTCCTACCGCATTCGCGCGCATGTCGTCATCCCCTCCTCCTCCTCTTCCTCCTCCTCCTCCTCCACCTCCTCCTCCTCCGCTGCCGTGGCGTCCTGCCACTGCTCATCGACCTCCTCATCCACCTCCTCGTGATCATCCTGATTCCCTCCTCGCCCTTGCATTCCTGATCCTCCTCCGCGTCATCGTTCCTCTCGCGATGGGGTTCCAACCTCAAGGATCGAGTTTCGAGGTTACCGATCCTGCGGGAATATCCGCGCCACGATGGGAGCCTCTTGGGGACTCTTTGATGGCCTGTTGGGAGCGTCTCTGGCTGTCTTGGGGCGCTTTGGGAGTCCCTGGGGGAGCGCCTCCGGGGCTTCTCGAAGGCTCTTGAGGTTACAAGGTGCCGCCTCGGGAGCCACTTGTGCCGTCGTGGAACGATCGTGGAGGCTTCTTCGAAACCCCTGGACGTTTTCTGGGCTCGTGTTTATGTCTTCGGGTCGAACTTGAACCCCTTCCAGGGTGTATTCGGAGCCTTTCTGGAGGCTGTCATGGCGTCTCGAGGCGGTTCTTGAGGCAGTTTCGGCCGTCGTTGACGTGTCCACAACGAGAAATGTGGAAACGCTAAAATTTCAAGAGAACTTCACGAGCGTTGGAGATTTTCGCTTCGTCGGGCCCTTCAGGGGTGTCTCTGGAGGCCCTCCTGAGCTTCTTTGAGGGCTTCCAAGGCCGTCCCGAAATCGTATTGAGCCATCTTGGGGGCATCTTGGACCGTTCTCTGATTTGTACTTTTTGGGCCGCGCTCCATTTCAACCCCTGAACCACTCCTGCGGCCCAAATGCACCAGCCAAGTGCGGAACATCGGTAAAATCATTCAACACATGTCCCCGCAGTTTCAGCGCCCCCGAAACACTTCCAAGGCGGTTGTTCCACTGCATGCTTCTACACTTCCCTGATCAAGGCAACTCGCCTGGCGATCGTTACTGGATGGGCTGGTGGGGGCACGCGAAACGTCAAGAATTGCATCTCTCTCTCTCTCTCTCTCCCTCTCCCTCTCTCTCTCTCTGCGTGTGTATATATATATATGTATATATATGTATACATATGTACATATATATATATATATATATGTGAATGCATACATATCTATACATATATTTGTGTGTATGTGTATATGTAGGCATAATGTATACATAAGTATATGTTCATCCGCCACCGTGCCTCTGGGCACGGAGTGGGCGTGTCCTCAGGTCCTCTGCCTCATCCCCTGGGCCTCAGTCCTCAGTCCTGAGGAATCTTTTGAGGGACCAGACCCCAAATTGCCAAATCTCCTGGGGCTCCCGGCCGTTCCCCTGGGGTCCCCGGCAACTTGTCGCGTGACTGGTTCGGGCCCAAGAGGGCCCCAAGACGGGCCAAGATAACCCCAAGAGGCGTCCAAGACGGCCCAAGAGGCCCCCGAGACGCCCAAAGATCGCTCCAAGACTCTCAAGATGGGCCTAAGACGGCCCAAGAGGCCGCCCAGACGCCCCAAGACGGCCCAAGAGGCGTCCAAGAGGGCCCCAAGACGTTCCAACAGGCCTCAGAAGAGCGGCCCAAGAGGTCCAAATCGACAATTTCCATTTGTTTTTGAAGGATGTTGGCCCTCCCGCCTTTTCGGCTCTCCGACGCTCCAAGACGGCCTAAGAGGCCCCCAAGACCGCCCAAGACGGCCTCCAAGAGAGCCCCAAGACGGCCCAAGAGGGCCCCAAGACGGCCCAGGAGGCGCCCAAGACGGCCCAAGAGGCCCCCAAGACGGCCCCAGGAGAGGGCCCAGAGGGGGACCACAGACCGAAAGCTCAAGCCTTCCGCCCCAAGAGGCCGCCAGGAGACCCCAAGAGGCCCCGAAGAGGCCCCAAGGGGCCGCCAAGACGCCCCCAAAGAGGCTTTTTGAGGCCCCAAGAAGCTCCAAAACAGCCCCCAAGATGCCTCAAAACTGCCTCCAAGAGGCCCCCGAGAGGCCAACCACGAGATCCCAACCAACATCCATGAGGCCTCTGACCCATCACCCAGGCACGATGGCGGGAAGGGCCGAAGGCCAGTAGGATACGAAGCCGGGGGGGTACCAAGCCGGCGGCCGCTGGCTTGGTAGGGGGAGCCCCCAAGCCGGCGGGGTACCAAGCCGGCGGCCGCTGGCTTGGTAGGGAGGAGCCCTCGGGGTGTACCAAGCCGGCGGGGTACCAAGCCGGCGGCCGCTGGCTTGGTAGGGAGGAGGCCCTGGAGGGGTACCAAGCCGGCGGGGTACCAAGCCGGCGGCCGCTGGCTTGGTAGGGGGAGCCCCCGGGGGGGTACCAAGCCGGCGGGGTACCAAGCCGGCGGCCGTTGGCTTGGTAGGCAGGCGCCCCCGGGGGGGTACCAAGCCGGCGGGGTACCAAGCCGGCGGCCGCTGGCTTGGTAGTAAGGAGGCCCTGGAGGGATACCAAGCTGGCGGGGTACCAATCCTGCGGCGCTGGCTTGTGTAGCAGGCGCACCCAGACACACACACACACCCAAGACCGGCGGGGTACCAATCCGGCGGCCGGCTGGCTTGGGCCCTGGAGGGGTGCCAATCCGGCGGGTACCAAGCGGCGGCCGCTGCGGCATGCTAAGGAGGAGCCCTGGAGGGGTATCAAGCCGCGGGTACAAGCCGGCGGCCGCCGCCTGGGGGGCCCCAAAATTGGTAAGGAGGAGGCATGGAGGGTACCAACCGGCGGGGTACCATCCGCGGCCGCTGGCTGGTAGGGGGGAGCCCCCAGGGTGGTGTACCAAGCCGCGGGGGTACCCAAGCCGCGGCCCCGCCTGTGCTTGGAAAGGTAGGAGGCCCTGGAAGGGTACCCAAAGCCGGCGGGGTACCAAGCCGGCGGGGTACCAAGCCGGCGGCCGCTGGCTTGGCAGGGAGGAGGCCCTGGAGGGGTACCAAGCCGGCGGGGTACCAAGCCGGCGGCCGCTGGCTTGGTAGGGAGGAGGCCCTGGAGGGGTACCAAGCCGGCGGGGTACCAAGCCGGCGGCCGCTCGCTTGGTATAAGGGAGCACGCTTGACCATGCTTGATCACGCGTCATGGGTATTGGATGTACGGCGTGCCGCTGCTTGGTAGGGAGGATGACCCTGGAGGAGTACCAAGCCGGCGGGGTACCAAGCCGGCTCTGGAGATGTTAATGGAGGAAAAGATTAAAAAGAAAAAACAACAAAAACTAAAAAAACGTTAAAAAAAAAAAAGAAACAAAAAAAAAAAAAAAAAAAAAAAAAAGAAAAGCCCCCAAGGGGTGTACCCAAGCCGGCGGGTACAAGCCGGCGGCCGCTGGCCTTGGCAGGGAGAAGCCTGGAGGGGTACCAAGCCCCGGGTACCAAGCCGGCGGCCGCTGGCTTGGTAGGGAGGAGCCCCCGGGGGGGTACCAAGCCGGCGGGGTGCCAAGCCGGCGGCCGCTGGCTTGGTATCTGGATGGGTTGGTTCGGCGCCAGAAAGGGTACCAAGCCGGCGGCGGGCGTGCAATATGGACCGATGCTGGCGCTGACATGCTTGGTGAGTCGGGTGGCAGAGAGGAGAATGAACCTCGATCTGCACCTTGCAAGCGCAACTTGAACGCAGACTTTGAAAAAACGTCTCCAGTGAGATCTACTGGGAGACTTAGGTTGTCTGCTGATATTTCGCCTCTCCCCACAAAACATGATTTCACATCGTTGGTCGAGTGGGAGCAGAGAGGCGTCTTGGAAGAATGGCTGTTGAATGCGTGCGCGCGTCATTGCGATGAGAGCGTTGCTTTTGAGAAAACACAAACTTTGTTGAAGCATCATGCCAACGATTACGTCGTGTTGTACATGCATCTGGTGAATGACAGTTGCGCTCCTGAGAGGCTCTTGCGCGAGAGCGGCATCAAGGCGCCGAGTGGCCAGGGAGAGAGTGCAAAAGATGCCCTCCTCGAAGTGGGAGGGTTCGTTGAATTTTGGGCCGAGGATGGGGAGAAACACATGTGCGCGAGGGTGCAAACGATATCGGAAACCACAGGGGGCACCCGTGTGCAGGCGCAGTTGCTGGTAGACGGAGCCGAGGCAGATGCTAATAAGATCCTCCTCTCGGAGGGGGTAGTCTCGAAATCGAAGGACGGCACGGCTTTTGTCGCTCGTCACCCGGCTGCGTATGCTGTTCTGGGAAAGTCGCATGGCCAACAATGGTTTTCCATCAAAAAGAAGAAAGGAGAGAAGCAGGCTTTCCAATGCGCTCAAGATCAGCTAGAGCAGTGGAGGAAAAAGTTCGCGGACATGGCCAAGCAGAAGGAGCAGGCAATCTTGTGCTTGTGTCCCCGGCGGCCATGCCCGCACGCCACCGCGATGCCCACGGGAGACCCAGGGGCGCGCATTTTACATTGCCCTGGCTTCAGGGTGGTGGGGAGAACATCAATCGAGCATCGGCTTGCCGCCATTCCTGGCAATGTCGGGCTCGATGACTGGAAGCAGCGGGAAAAGGGGGTCTTGCGTGACAAAAGGGCGACAGGTGCGAATGATCCCTCGCAGAATTGCGAGGGTCATCATAAACGCCGCTGAGCCCGGGGATGGCTGCGCCTCCCCCGCACCCCCCCCTCCCGCGAACCGCATTTTGGAACATAAACCATTTGGGCCTGTCTAGGCGCGAACGGTTCGAAAGCAAACTTCGGAATTTCAGGCATCTTACGCATAACACCTTTATATGCTTGCAGGAAGTTCGGTGCTCTTCCGCCGTTGCGGAGAGTAGTTTTTTCTCGCATGTCCCTGGCCGTGTTACTTTTATAGTTTCCGGCGTAGGTCGGCCAGGTCTGGCAATATCCATTGACAAAGCCTTCGCGCAAAAGCGGGGCGTTGTTGAGGATGATGCCAACGGTCGCTCGCCGAATCATCATCGCGTGCTTCCGGATGG